GGGCGGCGGCCTTTAGGGCGGAGCCGGCGCCGGCTCCCTTCAGTCGGCCGCGGTTAGCGGACGGTCAGTTTCGGGCGCCCGTTTCTTTCGTTCTTCCGCTCGGCGCTCGCTCTCGTGCGGAGCCGCGGCCGCCTGCCCAGCGTCCCTGCGGGTCCGCGGCGCAGCGCCATGTCGGAGCCGGGCGGCGGCGGCGGCGAGGACGGCTCGGCCGGCTTGGAGGTGTCGGCGGTACAGAACGTGGCCGACGTGTCGGTACTGCAGAAGCACCTGCGCAAGCTGGTGCCGCTGCTGCTGGAGGATGGCGGCGAGGCCCCGGCTGCGCTTGAGGCGGCGCTGGAGGAGAAGAGCGCCCTGGAGCAGATGCGCAAGTTCCTGTCGGACCCCCAGGTCCACACGGTCCTGGTGGAGCGCTCCACGCTCAAAGGTGCGGGGCCGGGGGCCGGGCGTTGGGGTTCCGGGCGGCCGGGGCCGGGGGACCCGGACGCCGGGCGCTAGGACCGAAGCGGCCTCCGGGCTGCAGATGCCCTGCGGGATGGGTCCCCGCGGCCGCCCGGCGAGGCCGGCGCCACACCCCCTGCCAGGCCGGAGCCCCGGGGGTGCCCCCTTCCGGGTCGCGGGGAACGAAGAGCGGGTGTCCCTGTCTTGCCGTCACCCAAAACAATGGGATCGCTTTGTCTGCTCGGGCCTCAAGATGGCCGAGTTGGGTGGAGACAGCGTCTCCCGGGCTGAGCGCGGGCGGAGGCCGCCTGCCGGCCTCCAATGTCACATGAGCTTTTCGGTTTCGATTTGTGGCCAGGCCAGGCGGTCCTCGGGAGGGATGTGTCAGGGGCAGACCCGCGGAGCCGTGCGCAGCCTGGCTGTAGGGCTCAGAGCTGGGGGGAGCCCTGGCCGACGGGCGTCCTGGCCCTGCCCGGTGCAGACCCAGATGCTGAGGCCCAGAGAATGACAAGGGCCGGCCCGGGCCGCGAGCAGAGCATCCCTGTTCTAGGTGGATGTGCGCTCCCAGGTCTGCCTCTTGGTCCTCACAGCGTCTTTGCGGTCTAGGTGTATTGCCCTATTTCACACGCGAGCAAACAGGCTGAGGTGAAATGACTCGCCCAAAGTCACCAGCTAATCCTGCTTCCTGGACTAGACTCAGCATCTCAGTGTCCGGTACACTGCTGGGTTTCACTAATCATACCCTTATATTTGTGTAATACTTAGATAATCCTAATGGTGACCCTGTGATATTTCAGTCTGTGGTTTACAGATTCTTTTTTTTAAGATTTTATTTATTTGTCAGGGAGAGAGAGCAAGCGCACAAGGAGGGGGAGCAGCAGGCAGAGGGAGAAGCAGGCTCCCCGCTGAGCAGGGAGCCCGATGCTGGACTCGATCCCAGGATGTCGGGATCGTGACCTGAGCCGAAGGCAGGACGCTTAACGGACTGAGCCACCCAGACCTCCCTAGTTGACAGAATTTTTTTAAAAAGAGAGAGAGACTTGGGTTAGGCACCTACTTGGGGAGAGGGAGCAAAAGGTTTGCATATTCCAGCAGTCTCCTCAAATAGTGACCTTCCCAAAGCAAAGCTAGATTCATCTTGAGAATTGAGCTTGTCTTCAGGGAGTTTCCAGACTCTGTAGGACCACTTGGTAGTTGATGGTGAGCATATCTGACAGCACAGAATGGGTGTGGCACCGTCCATCTGGGAACCCAGGGGTGATGTCCACGTACATTTTAACCTTAGAACTAAGGGATTGGCCATTGTCTGAAAATGTTTGCCATCAAGCTTCTTATAATCACAAAAAAGCTGTACGGTTCTGTCAATAACGGGATTTATACTGTCTATCTCACACACATACACACACACACACACACACACACACACACCCCACTTTCTTTCTGATAGTTTGTTTCTTTCAAAGGCCATTTCAGGAGATGCTTCATTGTAGCCTCTGTTTCTGTGAGAGGGTGAGAAGGTCAGAGTGTGTGAAAGAATATTTTTCTTAGACTCACATGGAATGTTCAAAGCAAATGAGCCATTCAGACATATTTAGGCTATTAATGTTGCTTAGGGTTTTCTGTTATGTTTGGGGTTATGTTTTCCAGCATGGAAACCACTAGTGTTAAAAAAAATTTTTTTAACCCACCTACTCTTTCAGAAAGAGTATGTGTTTAGTCGTGATAGAAAATTTAAAGTATACAGGTAAAGGAAAAATCACCTGGAATCCTTTGACCTAGGTATAGCCAGTGTCAGCATTTTGGAATCTGTCTGTCTGGTTATTTTTCAATGAGTATGCATTATTTTATTAAAATGTATCTTAATTTGTGTTAAGTTACTGTATTTTGAGTAGTTTGAATTTGGCTAATTCTTGATCATATTTTCATTTCACAGTTTATGTATTAAAATCGGTGATTTCTACCTTGAATCTCAGTTTCTTTTTATGGAAAAAAATTGTAAGTTTTGTTTTTGCTTCTAGACTGCTCATCAGTAATTGACTTTTCTCAAACATTAGAACTGAACTTTGCTAAAATTACTAGGGGGAAGCCCTATTTCTGTAGTATGCTTTTTAGTGCAAATCATCTGTTTTCTTGATGGTACATTTTTTTATTTCCGCAAAGCAAATGTCCAAGCATCCAGGTCTTGACTCCATAATGACTTGCACTTTTGAACGTTGACTAAGGAATGAGAGTGTCTAAAATTGAAATCCTACCTCATTCTGTATTTATAAAAATAAAAAAGTATTTCTAGCAATTCAGCCTGTCTGTAATTTATTTTTCACTTAAAAAATTTAAAGAAAGACTGTATGGTTCCATCAGTCTTATTAGCATCCTGACTAAACTAGGATAATTCAGACCTAAGTCCAGACCCAGGTCAGTTGATAGGAGGGCTTTCTTCCCGGTAATTTTTGAGTTAACATTGGCTTTTGCACATTTAATCAAATGTGAGCATCCAATAGCTAGTTACAGTAAGAAGGTAGGCTTGCTCTATAATGTGGAAAACAAATCTAAATTGTTTAAACTGAGTAAAGACTGTCAACAAGAAAGAAGTCATAATTTAGTGAACAAAGGAAATTGCTTTTATTTTATCCTCCCCCACTTTCTATGGAAAGAATTTTCCAAACACTTGTAATTGAATATAGAAGCATTTTTACATGAAGATATGTATGTGTGTGTGTCACATATGTGTATGTATATATATATATATATATATATACACACACACAAAGAATTTATTTATTTGACAGAGAGAGAGAGATTGAAAGCAGGAACACAAACAGGGGGAGTGGGAGAGGGAGAAGCAGGCTTCCCACCGAGCAGGGAGCCCAGTGTGGGGCTTGACCCGAAGACCCTGGGATCATGACCTGAGCCGAAGACAGACACATAACGACTGAGGCACCCAGGCACCCCTGAAGATATATATATTTTTAACCACCCCAGCTAACTGTAAACTTTCTGTTTAAGTACAGTATTCCTTAAAGTGTAGAATAAAGATTGCGAATTTAGTGGTTTATTTTGATACTAAAGGATTGGAGAGTTGGTGGGCAGGGGGATGTTAGCTCCTCTGAATTGAAAAAGAAATCTCTTTCCTGTAATTCCTGGCCTGTAGAAAATTGTTTTCTTCATAGTGTACTTCTAAAATTACAACCAGGGGTGCCTGGGTGGCTCAGTCGTTAATTGCCTTCGGCTCAGGTCATGATCCCAGGGTCCTGGGATCAAGCCCCGCATCGGGCTCCCTGCTCCGCGGGAAGGCTGCTTCTCTCTCTCCCACTCCCACTGCTTGTGTTCCTTCTCTCTCTGTGTCTCTCTCTGTCAAATAAATAAATAAACTCTTTAAAAAATAAAATAAAATTACAGCCAGATAGGTGCTCATTGCTTAATAGGCATTTTACAATTTTAATGACATTCTGTAGCAGTTTTTACCTGAGGTGCATTTTTGGTTGGGTGGTAAAGGTAGGAGCAGGTAAGAGATGCTCCGGCTTGCAGCTGGTGAAACTGGAGGATCCAGGAGGGCTCTAGCTTGTTAGTGACCAGGCTGGGATCAGGTGCTGTGGGTTTTTGTTTTTGTTTACATTTGGGTGTCTTAGCCTTAGTACTTTGTCTTTAAGACTGAAAATAATGGCTGCCTTTAGTCAGTACTTATTCTAAGCTTGGGATTCTAGTTTTTTCTAAAATATAAAATTTAGGGGGTTTTACCTCCCCTTCATTAGTGCAGAGATGGCTAGGGACTAGAATGTGAAAGAAAGCTAGAACTTTTTACAGTCCTCAACTTCTTAGAGATACAGCAGTGTGGAAGGTTTTTGTTGTTGTTGTTGTTGTTTTAAAGATTTTATTTATTTATTTGAGAGAGAGAGAATGAGAGACAGAGAGCATGAGAGGGAGGAGGGTCAGAGGGAGAAGCAGACCCCCTGCCAAGCAGGGAGCCCGATGCGGGACTCGATCCCGGGACTCCAGGATCATGACCTGAGCCGAAGGCAGTCGCTTAACCGACTGAGCCATCCAGGCGCCCCATCAGTGTGGAAGGTTTAATGGGGACTGTTTTTTGTGGATTTTAAAAATTATTTTTCTGAGGACTTAATTTCCCTAAAGGATGAAGAAATGTTGACTAAAAAGTACGCATTTCTGACCTTTGCTTTTTCCCCAAAATGGTTAGTAAAATGGTTAATAAATTCACAGGAAGACTTTTCTGTGACACCACACTGCCTGGAAGCCCTAGCCAGGAGTCCATTAGCCTGGGTTCCTACTGTCCTATGCTGTCACACCGTAGGCGGGGCCCTGCACCCTTCGTAGGACACACCGGTCTGCAGCTTGCTAGGTTTCACTATGCAGTGTAGCATAACAAATGATATTTATGGGCAACAAAGGGAAAACCGTCATCACTGTTTTTAAAAAGTAAAGATGGAGGGAAATTGTTTGCCAGCGTTGTAGCGTATTATGTGGGCTTTAACCCTCCTTCCCGTTGCTAACGGTATTATGAATGGAAGTCTTCAGGTTGAAGAGAAAACTCAGGCTTTCTCACCATGCCCTGAGCCTCGTGCCAGAGGAGGGAACGGTTGTGGCAAAGAAGTCACAGCCCCTCAGAGGGAGGACAAAGGGGTGATGGGCGTCGAGGTGACGGGAAAAAGCACCAGATGCAAACATGTGAGAGAAAAGGGGGAGAACATCTATGATAGTGATCAACCAAAATAATGTGGTGTTCGTATGCTTTGGATTTTAAGAGGAAAAGAAGATCAAAGATAAGGAGAACCAGGAACATGTAACAAGGAATTTGGTAGTTTGTGTGGGCCAAAGAGAGCAGCTGGCTGCCTTTAAAGGCTGGATGGAGAAGACACTTGCCCCGAGGCTGGGAGAGAGTGGGGGGCGGGGAATGAGGGAAAGATTAAGGACGCGGGGAGCTGGGCGGCCTCCTTTACCAGTTTGCTGGCCTCCTCTTACCTTTCATGTTCACCACACTTTGTGAAAGCCCGCCTGGTCTCCCTGGGGGAGGAAGTCCGAGTCTTAAGGTAATTGAATGCACATCTTTTTTGTTTCACTAAGTGAGATGTAATGCTCACCTAGTTCACAGTATAATGATGCAAATCACTCTTAGTTTGAAATACATTCAGCTGGTCTTTAAATAGAAATTTAGGGGCGCCTGGGTGGCTCAGTGGGACTTGGCCAGCAAAGGTGAGAGCGGCGAGGA